AGTTGATGTTTTTGGCGATGTTCAACCATGGACTGACTGTACCGCCCACACAGGAGCAGCAAAAGATGCTTCTTCAAATGCGGCTTGGCATGACCCTTTTCCTTCTTGAGACTTGGTGACTTTGGTGACTTCACATGGTGCATCATGGTTCCATGCGGCTCAGATACGTCGCATGTGTTGTTTCGATGCTGTTGAGGGTTTGCCAAGAGATCCATCTTGGCCCGAGGTTTGGATGTAGTTGAACTGAACCCTGAACCTCCAAGCATCTCTGGATGGCCCGAGATTTGGCCATATCCAAACGTCCGAGCTATATATATTGTATGATGTCTCTTGCTTGTTCTTTCTCAGTCGAAACACTATGCTCTTATCTATGCCAGATTAAGGGATTTGGTCATCTTCGGGAGACGAGCAGAGCTGCTCTCTCACACTTCCTTGGCTCACATTTTGAGTGGGGCATGGCTGGTCACGGCTGGTCGTTGTCGTTGTGAGATGTTCGAACTGCTGAGGCAACAGCAGTTCGAGATGACTCTCATGCAGAAGATGGGCATGGACTCTTCAGCTTAAGCCAAGCCGGGTCCAGGTACAACTGGAAAGGGGTGCAATTTGGAGCTCCAGGTGGGAGCAATTGAAACCACCACATCGACCCCTGTGGGGGTTTCCTTTCTTATTTGTCCACGGATCAATCCCCCAATTACTTGGAATCACTTGGAGTTATCGTTTTCTTATTATGACATCAGTGGTTGAGTATCCAATATCGCGCCTCCAGACCCCACCAAAATTCTTTTCTACTGTTCAAAGAAACCTCTCAATCGATGGCATGCCTCTTTGGCTCAAACCTCTAAGGGTTTTCTGCTCAGTCAGTCCTGCTTACCATGGTGGCCAGACCGTCGTCCCCCCAGACCGTCGCCGAGCTCGACTGACTGGGCGCGACGGAGCGCCGTCGAGTTCGTCCCAGGAATCCGGTGGCTCCGCGCCCTCGGACATGCCCATGTTTCCTCCACCGGGCATGGACGGCTGTGGTGGATGTGGTGGACTCTCGGCGCAATGGGGTGGGGTCAACTGGGCGCAATGGGCGGCTTGGGCGGTACACAGCACTGGCGCGCGGAAATGGCTTTGGTGCGTTTGGGTGGGGGGGGCTGCATTCCTGGTCGAGCTTTTGGACGAAGCGTGAGAAGCGCAGAGAGATGAGACTTGGGTGTAGTGAAACGGTGCAACGGATGAAGGGTGTCTCATCAAAAGGCCTTATAGTTACTGCCAGCTGTGGGCTGTGATTCCTCCAAAAGAATATTCAATGTGTCGCTCGCACATGCACTCACGAAAGGAGCGGTTGGATCTACATTAATAGCCAGAAGTCCATTTTGCCTACATACTCCCTGCTTCAAAGCTTGTGGTTGTTGGTGGATCGCAGATGCACAATCAAAACGGCCCTGCTTTTGAAGCCCATCGAGCACTCTACCAAGCCACTAATCGGTCACTCATGACTTGTCGATCGTGCACTAGATCCTCCAATATATGTTTTCTTCTGTATACTAACATAGTACTAACTCTAATACGGGTGGAGACACTATGATATATATGGCACTTGTTACAAGAAATTCCCCAGGCACTCAGTGACACCAACAAATCCGCCTCCGAAGCTTCAGACCATCGATCACCCGATAGGTGGCTGTGGCCCCTGTGGCGGATGTGGCGGTTGCGGCGGATGCGAACCAAAGAAGGACGGAGTTGATGCTTTGAAACCTCATACCGATTCAATGTGATGAGAGAAATGGTGGTGATCTGGTGTATCTTAGCTTGGATGGTGTTTTCATTGTGCATTCTTTTGCCAAAAGGAAGGTCGATGGCATGTGATGGACCCTGTAGCCTTCCCGTGAGCAGCCTGTGGTGAGGACGCAAAGTCTTCCCTCCCTGCAGCCTTGGCCAACAAGCAGCACCTCGGCCAACAAGAGCCAAGTCTCATCACAGTGGGTCACTGGACTGTCAGGCCAGTGAGGCTGTTGGAATTCCGAGCATTCTGAGGGCACCTGAATCCTTCTAGAACAGAGCTAGCTGCACTGGGGAAGAGACCCCCATGGAACCTGATGGCATGCACCTTTGGAAGACTATTTTCCTCTAGAACCCATTGGTTTTTAGGTTCCATGGTCCATGTTAATCTTCCAGAGCGTAACTGCTGTGAAGAATATCTCCACTTTCCGAATTTGACTATAGCTCATCAACCATCAACCATCTACCACACCATGACACCACTTCCTCCCTCACCTAATTGACTCCCCCCACTTTTTCCCTCCATCAGGGTTTTCCAACATCACGACGGTCAACAGGGGACCCATCCATGTCCTTCACTTCAGGAGACAAACCGTCACCAGGCGAAAAGGCTCCGTCACTTGGGGACCAAACCTCCACCTGGCTGTGAAAAGAGGGAAACCGCACGCCTGGAGCAAGCTGAGGAAGATGGACGCCTCGAGCAACCTGCTCAACGTGGCCTCCACCGCATCTTCCACCGCGATGCCTAACATGGGCCTTCCCGCGGCTCAAGCCATGGCTGCTGCTGGCGCCTCACCTGTGCCTGGGCGGAGAAAGATGGAGGGGGACATTGGAGCTGCGGCTTCGGGGAAGGGGGTGGAGTTGCAAGGTGTAGAGATCACGACCACGTGAAGTGGGCACACCAGTGGTACCAGGGTGCTCGAGGATGTTTGTTTCTTGGTCCCTACCTCGTAGTTGGATCACGTTGGATCCGTGAGCGGAATGGAAAGGAGTTTCAAGAGAAATTGGAATTGAATGGAAATGGCAGTTGTCAAAGGGTCCTTCTAAGGGGCATGAGGGCTTGGTTCATTAATTGAAACGCAGAAACGCACCTGTAGGTGTGCAACACGGGCCAGACCAAGATTTGCAACATGTTTTTTCCATGAAAAGGAAATAAAAGGAATATAATATACTGTGTAGATCATTCTAGATCACTGTCGTCAACAACCATACATAGAGTGCTAGAAGGCCTCCGGACAGAAAGACACAAACCTGGTGTGTTGTTCTTTGGGTTGAGCTATCCTGTTCATATTTTGTTTCAATGAGTTTTCATCCAATTGACCTGGGTTTAACAAAGCCTTGAGCGTGGGCCCACGTGCATTCCCATTTGATTACTGTATATAGTGGGATCCACAGCAGTGCGTTGATTTGCTTCCGCACTTCACCCAGGCCATGATAGGGCGTTGAATTCATCAGACCTCATGCAATGCATCAGGGACAGGGATGACCGGGTGAAATAGATAATCACTAAGGAGATGCTTCAGATGATGCAGCAGATGGGCATGGGATCAGGAGGCTATGTGGACCCATCCCAGAAAGGAGCTCCCTCCGGAACCGGTCGAACATCGCGTCACGTGACCCCGCGCCGCGAGCGACGCGCATGGCGAAACCGCGTGCTGGGCTGCAGAGACGGCATTGAGGACCTAGAAAAGGCCTCCCCTTGCATGCAATCGTGCACCCATGTGGAAACCATTCATGACAGAAACTGGGACATCCATTCCAGGAGCTGTGGAAGCGCAGCAAGAGGCTTGGCTCAAAGGAAGAAGACTTCCAAGATGTTGCAGCAAATCCTGAAACATGAACAATGAACCTGGAAGACGATATGCCACAGAAATATCAGGCCCGGGAGCAATTTAATGTTCATGTGTATCTCCTTACTCCGGCTGGCCTTCTGGACAACGGAGAATGGAATCGATCTTATTTAGGATGGCAGGACCAAACCACACCCCCCACAGACTCCACCGCCGCCGGACGGCCGCCTAGGAAGCTTTGGCACAGGCGGCGCGAGAGCTGCAAGCCGCGCAGGAAGCCGCACAGGCTCAGCAAGCCGCCCTGGAGTGCCTCGGTTGTGCATGGTTGGAGTATGAATATAGGAGGGTCCAAGGGACCCTTTTGGTGGCATTGGTGGCCATGGAATTGAGTTGCCTAATGTACATACGTTTTTGTTTCTGTGTGCTTTAGGTGGTTCGGGACTCATATGTTTTTTGGGGTGCAGCTTTTATATGTGGAGGGACCATGGAGGGAGCATCAATTGGGACAGCAGGACCGGTGACATGGCATTCCAGATCATTCCAGACCAAATGGCAAGGAACCTGTGTGTCTAACGGTTCTAGGGTCCCACAAGTGAGTTGGGGAACCCTTTTCGGGTAGACTAATGGAACCACTGACTGTCATAGGAATGCAAGGAAGATGGAAAATATGATGGCCCACAAAATGGGTGCTGCCACATCCGTTTAGTATATAAAACAATAAAGCAGACATGCCGCACGTGCAGGGTGGTTAGTGTGTTTCCAGTGATCAATGATAGAGTTTACTTCACAAACACCGTTTTTGTTGATTCTTGCACAACATGAAGAGCTTAGAACTTTTGTGAACTCGGGTTCACACCAGGACCAAAACATCAATGGTGAGCCAGACCCGATTCGAGCGACTCAGGGCCATGTCGCCCGAGCAGCGCGAAGCCGTGCTGGCGGCCATGTCTGCGGCCAGTGAGGCTCAGCAAGCGTTCCTTGCTGCAAGGGGGTCGATTTCAACCGCTGGAGGGACCCCTTGTGTTGCGCGTGAGGTGTCCAAAAAACCTGAAACTCTTGATGTCGGGATTTTAACAAATTGAACATGATCTGCCAGAAGTATGATGTATTCGAAACCATTCTCAAAGTTCACTTGCTTGGAAGAACGCGGTGCTGATGCCATTTGGTCCCACACTTCTCATGGTCGCATCATTCCATATCTTTCAGCATCCAAATTGCAGTCTGAACCATTTGATACCCTCCCTCCAACAATCATGGAAGCTGACCAGGCCCCCTTGTGGAGGAAAATGATCTTCCAGGGACCATACCATCCACTTCGACTGACATGATCTCAGGGACAGATGCTGAACTGATGGTGTTGACGGTGTTGGGACCTCCAGCAAACGTCCACTGCAGATGTTCCTTCTGTCCAATTTTCCAAGGCAGCAATCCCAGTTCTACGAGGCGATGAAGGCGCATGAGATGGAGAAGCTACAGAAGAGCGGTCGCTTTGTTCGAAAAAGATGCACCAAGAACCAAGAAGCGCCTTTTACCAGCCTTGATGAAACCACCCATGAGCTGCTTGATCCATGATCTTGTGGGTTTCCTATACTCTGGCTACAGTAGTATGGCCTTGGCCGCTTTGGCCTGTCAACAATTAATATATATATATATATAATAGTTCATACGATTCATACAAATCAAGCACTTGTTCTTCGGATGTGTGCACCCCCTTGGGTCAAAGAGTTCTTGGGCCACCTTGCACATTGGCTTGTTTTGGGGACCTGAGGAGTCACCGATACAGAAATGGACAATGTTTCACACCATTTTCGCAAATGCCTAAGGATATTACCAAAGCAATCAGCCGGAGCGCTTCAAAGATGGCTATCGACCCCTCCGCATGTGCAAGCACTTCAAGACCGACCAGTGCTGGCGAGGACAAGAGCCACCCGGTGGACAAGAGGGGATTTAGAACGGGCGGCTGGTTGGCGTCCTTCCAAAACGATAGAGGACGTGGACGGTATGCCGGCACCAATCTGTACCCTCCAAGGGGTCTGTTCCTTGGCCTCACAGGTTTCAACGTGAGCTGGTGGAGGGAGGTAGGCAGAGGCTCAGTAAAAAGCCAGAGGCAAACAACTCTAGCATGATCGTGCTTCCAATCCGCAGCCTGACTTCCTGCAAACCATTGCAAATCCATGGTGCCATGATGCCAGTGCCATTGCAAACCCTCCGCCACAGCTCTGGATCTGAGGTGTACCTATGCCCACAGCTTGGAGGAGTTGCATCCCGCCTCCCCCGATTTGCCCCGCGTCGAAGTCAAAGAGACCAACGCCTTGGCGGAGCAGCAGACACACGGCGGAACAGCAGACGCGTGCGGCACAGCTCCGTGGAATGGTTTTGTGTGGTGGTTTTTGGGGTGTGTAACAGGAAACCAGCAGCGGTGGCTGAAGCATTGATAAAGAAAATGCACACTTTGTTCATCTTTTGTCCACGTATTTTTTGGCGGGGAAAGGCCGTGATTTAGTGAAACATAATCATCGACCTGTTCATCCATTGGTAATGGGATGGACCCAATTTAGGGCTTGCTTTTGTGCAGACGTGAAGAACCACCAGTAAGACAAGATCCATTAAGCAGCAGGTGGTGTCCCAGTGAGGATGTTGAGCGGTTGTTGATCCTGAAGACTCATATGAACTACAGATCACGGGCATGATGGGCTGAGCTTAAATGTTGCCCAGACAAACACTGTATAGTCAATTCAAACTATCCCGTGGACATCAAGTTCTGCGTTCTGGGTTGACAAACGTGGAAGCTGAGTTCCGGGTCCACTTCCCAGCTTTGGTCTGACAGCCGCGAGCGGCGACGTCTCCTGGTTCGACTCACGTCACGAGTTCGACTCATCGGCGGAGTCTGGCTCATCGCTTGGGCCCAGGAAGGTGGAAGACAGTGCACCGGATGTGCGATTGAAGAAAAAGAAGGACCAAGATGGTGCAGAGCGAGGTGGTGGTGGTTTTGCCGTGGCGAGAGTGGTGGATTTGCAGATCCGGTTGTATAGGTGTTCGGAAGGTTGTAAGTTGTGAAGATACATCATATACTAAGGTATGTATATCCACTTCAACGAAGGCCCTATGAGAGCAACAGTTTTCATTTGGCTTATCCAGGCCTGTATGAGAGCAAGGAATGTAAGGGTTTGCCCTGTTTATCCATGCCTAGTTGAATGCCTTTGAACTTGGCAACAGGGAGGGAATTAACAAACAAGCTCTTGTTCGGTGTGCATCAAAAAGGAAGACTTTCCAAAGATGGCTGTGAAAGTCAGCAAACAACTAAAATACCATTACACTGCCCTGCACTTAACAAAGTCAAAAGTTCACTTCCCTGATGTTTAACATTTTTTTGGATCTCCCTATGAGTTGGGGAGAAGGCTGGGATGTCTGGCTTGAACCCCCCAAACATAGGGCACCCCGTGAAGTCACAGCTTTCTGTTTTTAGGACCCGTTGTGATTCTGTAGGGCATGGAACAATCATACACATCCAAGCAAGGATATGATTCTCTAGAACAGTTGGAAAACCAAGGCTTACTGCAGTCGGTAGCGCTACCGACTGCACTAAGGGGAGGGCATACCAAGTCCTGTCACTACTGAGGTGATTTCCTTAAGTGCAGGTATGAAACTTGTTGAAAAGGTTAAGTATGTTCAATTCTAAGTTCGAATTGGGGGAGATGGTCCTCTATCAAAGGAGAGAGTAGGAGAGAGAGAGAGAGGGGCGTGAAGCCTGGCTGCCTGACCGATTTTTCATTTAGCAACCAGAAGTGAACTTTATGGCTACAGGACCGTTTGGCTGCATGACAGTCCGGTTTGGCTGCATGAGGGTCTCCTTTGCCTTACCCTTGTCCCACGGGCAGGTTAACCCACCCTTTTTGTGCGGGTTTTAATGGTGTTTTTATTGTTTTTTGGTATTCATCATTGAGTACTTCCGAGCTGCGGTGCCAGCAGCAATTAAGGTTTAATTCAGGAATGACATTTTGACATCTTTAAGTGCGCCCCAGTACAGTATATACAATTATCATATAAATATCATCAATATATCATCATTATTTTAGAGAAAATGACCCTAGCCGAAGCAAGCAGGGCTCATAGAACTATGGTGAGTGAAATTCAAAACGCAGAGGAGTGCAGTAGAGTACCCATACACTCCATGGCACCGCCATATCTGCCTACATTGACCCCCCTGGCACCACCCCTGGCCTGATCGGCAGTCCTATGGCAGTCCGATGGGTCGCGTGTGGGGTATGAATTGTCTTGGACAAGGAATCAGCTGGGCTAGTTTCATAGCAAGTGGGATGGTTTCATAGCTCCAGGAGGTCCAGGAATCACGTGGGTGTAAGCACAGCAGGACGAACCAATGACATCGATTGGATGAGGGGCTTAGGAACTAACTTTCTGCCTGTGCAGGGCGAACGATGAATTTAGGCGCGAAACGCCCATGGTGAGTCCCTACAGTATCCATTCTGCGGTCTCCGAGCCACACGGACACGCAGGAGCTTTGCAACAAATGGAAGAACGGCCAAGATGCTTGGACTGAATCACATTTCTTGGGATGTTGGTGTTTGATATGCACCGGCAGGTGCAGTTGGGTTTCTTGGGTGTGTTCAACAGCCACTTTGGTAAGTAATGTGAATCACAGCATTGGCTCTTTAATGGCCGATCCCCCTTTTGATCATATTACTGTATATGTGTGACTATCTACTTTCAAGAAACTGGCCCTACAGCCAAGGGACCACACCACCCCTGAGTCCTTGCCTCTTCTGGACCGGCGCGCTTGCCCCGCATGCATCCTGGGCCGAAAACACGAGGATTGCGTGCTGGGCCGTGCGTGCCCCTATGCCCACGGAGAGAAGGAGTTGGGTACCGTGGAGCTCGTGGTGTGCGGCCGAGTGAAGACGAGGATTTGCAAGTTCTGGACGACTGGGAACTGCGCCTGGGACGATGGGGATGTGGAGGGCGGGGAAGACGAGGGATGGGAATGTGGAGGGCAAGGCGCGGGGAGGAGGCAATTAGAGTGGATAGGGAGTCCGGAGGGCCAGAGCAGTCCGGAGGGCCAGGCCTAGCTGGGAATAAACAGTATAAGATTCAGGGTGGAGCATCTAAAATCTTTGGCCCCTTCACCGCAGAACAATGAAGAGCCAACGGCCCAACGGCTTTTTGTTTGAGGCAGTTTGAGGCTAATGCTGTAGTTGGGTGTTACTGGGGCAACTATTGCTTGCTGTGTGATTGGATATGATGTGATGTGAACAAGAATGTGGGGTAGCACCAACTAGCAATGGAAGAAGGTCCGTGGTAAACACCGCAGGCTGTGTGTGTGATCTTGATTTGATCGATTGTGGAACCTCAGAAGGTGAGTAGCAAAACAAATCATCTACACCTTTGGACCTCTTATGCCAGTTCGTAGGACGTCACCTACCTGGTTTCGCTGCCAGTTCGTAGGACGTCACCTACCTGGTTTCGCTGGCCTTTGTGACCACCATCCCAATTCCCTGCCTGGACCTCCCCAATCGAACCCCACCTGCATCTCAACACGCACACCCCGCCCCTGAGAGTCGTCCATGCCACCCCTGCAATAACACCCCAGTCCCCCCGTCGTTCCCCCCGAGGCATGTTCCTAGGGAACTGCGTGAACGCCCACGGCGAGAAGGAGCTCGGCACCAAGCGGCCAGACTTCATGACGCCGCCCATGAAGAAGCGAAGGGAAGGCGCGGGTTACGGGGTGGACGCCAGCTGAACGGGTGCGCGAAGGGCGCGGCGTTCACACAGGTTCGAAATGGAATGGGAGTGATCTGGGGTGACCCGGGATTTGGTGACTGCAGGGGGTTGGTCTAGGCTGGACCGGTGTCATTCTGAAAGAATGGTCCCGAGTCCGATGTTTGTTCGGGGTTAGGACATTGACATTGGAAGGGTGACGCGTCACCCTTGGTGTCCAACATGATCCAACCTCCGGAGCGGGGACGCATTGGCGAGACTGCGCCGCTGGACCGCGCTGCAGGAGAGTCAATCGACCAGTTCCGGGAGCAAGTCATCGCTAAGAAGGGCGGCGGCAAGGGCTACAAGGGTTCTGGAAATCATTGAGCCATCCAGGGGGGCAGCGTGGTAGAAAGAAGCGATTCACTGGGGTGGGGGCAAAAAGAGGACGGGCTTTTGAGGTCCGTGAAGGGCAAACCAAAACGACCCTGGCATCCTATAAGCATATAAATTTGCTGGTAAGCTTCTCTCCTATGCCGTCCATTTGTAAGTTTGCAGCAAGTGTTTGTATATGTATAGTATAGTTGTACTAAATGCATCGATCAAAGACAATTTGAAGGAGTTTCCACCGCCCAACCGCGCGGTGGAAAGTGGAGGTACTCTTGGACTCAGGGGAAGTGTCCGCCCCACCCCAGGTCGAATAGAGAGAACAGGTCTGAGCCGAGCGTGTGTGAAAAAAGTTGAGTGTCGAGTTCGGGAAGAGAGGACATGGTCCAGAAACTAGTGTCGAGAGAACATGCCATGGTGGGAAAGTTCAAGTTTTGTGCTATAGAGAACAAACAGTTCAAGTTTAGTTTCAGCTTTGAGAACACTTTTGTTTAGACCAGAATCAAAAGCAGGGGTCTGGGCGGAGGGATCGGTCGTTGGCTATCATGAACTTATATTGAATATTGAATAGAAAGAAAACAAAAGAACACACATGATAATATACTTTCATATTGTTCATGGATTTGTCATGATATACATCATACATCATCATACCTTGGATTTAAGTTCTAGTCTTTACAGTATCAACCGATGTCAACCCACAGCGTCGACGCACCGGGCTCCGTCTGGTCGTTTCTCCGCCCCATGACGCAGCTCCGACGACCGACGCGAGATGATGGCTACGGCTTCCTGGACTCTGCCGTGGAGTTGCCGGGCGTGGTCTCCGTGGCCATGCGCGGAGCTGAGAGACGATGTCGACATGGGTTTTCTTTTCCATGGGGTCTTGAAGCCGATTACAGAGAACGAGAGGAGCTCGGAGTTCCTAATTGGGGCCTAGAAAAAACATTCCCGCTTTGGGGGGGGGTCCCAAACATCCTCCTTTTTACTTTGGAAGTGGTTCCACGAGGATCCATCCATATCTCTCCTGGGTTCTCGTGGGTGAAAACGAGTGTCTCGTGGTGTCATTAATGACCGAACAGAAGCGCTTGGAGGTCGCCGGTGAAAACGTGTTGGGATCCGCTCGGACTCCATTGGACACCACAAGGTGCGCACGGCTTTTGTTGGTCCAAGCTACATCAACAGCTGCGTTTGAAGGAGAGAACAGCACAGTTTTCAAGGTGATAGAATGTGATAGAAGTCCATCCTTCTCAGTCCAGATTGAGGAATGTTGCAGGATTGGATAGATCATGATGAATCCACGAAATGCCCATGATATGGATGTGGGTTCAAGCCAGAATTAACCATCCGTGACAAGAGGTTGGAGCACCATGCCAGCCCTGAGGTTCAATCGAAATCATCGCGTCCGTGACAGTCCTTTGGATAGCCCGGAACAGCCAGCCGAGTACCTCCACCAGACCCGAGGGAAGCTCGAGGCCAGGGTGAGACGTGCTTTCCTGGGTGTGGCTTTCCTTGCTCTCCAGTTTCATCATACAAGTATTTGGCTTGATCATATCATACTCCGATCAGATTAATCCCACTAGGATTGCACGGATTCTCTTGTCAAGGCCTGGGTGGTCCATTTTGTCAAGGCCTTGCTTCAAGCGCCCTTTATCAACTTGTTGGACGATAAATCTGTGGGAATACGTCTTTCTGTAAAGGGGAAGTGAGGTCTTCCAGCAGTTTTGAATGCCCGCTGAAATCAACGAAACCCGCCGACAGTCCCGGGCCTGGTTGACTTTTGGTTGCAAGGGTCACCGTAGATGACTGGAAGAAGGTCATCATTGCCGCCGAATTCTGCGCCACTCTCTCCTGCCATCTTGTGAAGCATGTCATCTCTTAAACCGCCAAGAAGTTTAAATCAAGAATTAACATGGGATAGTGAAGAACAAGAGATGATAAAACAATATTATATATATATAATAATGGTTTGTTTTTATTTATTGTGTTCGTTTCATCTGATTCACCCCTGCCCTAAGGTTTTTCATTCTCTCAAGCTGGTGATCCCCAAAGACCCAACGTCCAAACAGAGCTTCGTTTCGTGTGACCCCCTGCCTCGTTTCGTCGTCAATCAATAGTTCCCCTCAGTGGCCCTGCAGAAATCAGAATTGCAAATTACACACAACATCCAGGACCCCCCAAACCCACCCCAACCACCTTCTCATGAAGTGGTTGGAGCCCTAGGGATTTATAGTCCCATTAGCTGTTAAGGGGTGTCCATTAACCACCCCGACTGGGGGTCCTGGATTGAGCAATTGTTCAAAAACATTCAAAAACCATCAAAAGTGTACAGCGGTGATGGGGCGTGACATCAAAAACATGGGCCTTTTCCGATGAACGCAGTTGTTAATAGGACGCTTTGGGTATCTATTGTGCACTTGGTGTATTGCAAACTCGATCAGGCCGCCATCCTGGCTGCGGTGCAGGTGTGCCAGGGGATGCTGGGGAATTGGGAGGCTGTCTAGAGAGTCCAGAAAATGTCCGCTGAAACAACGTATATATATATATATAGATTTATATAATTTGCGTGGTTGAGCACTGAATCTCCCAAAAAGAAAGCAATACGCCAGCGGGCCATGATGGTGTTGAGATGAGATCATGCGACGAGAAGGCGAACAAGGGGCCATCACCTCCACTTAACATGTGTTTCTCATGGTTGCCAAAGAATGAATGGTCCTTCATTAAAGGTGTCCCCTTTTGAGCTAATTCAACCTCCACATTTGCAGTTACTTTAACTTTCCAAGGAAGGCCTTTGACGTGGGGGCCTGACAAAGTCACACACTGTAGAACCGATAGAATCAACAGCTTTCTGCTTTTTGGGCCAGGAGAAAGGCCTTTGGGTGCTCCAGTTCTGATCGCTAGCTTTGTTTCTATATACTGTAGGTACTGCAACCTTCTTACTGTAGCTCAACCATCCTCCATCTCTCCATCCTCGGTGGCGTTCTGCCACTGACGTCCAGAACTCCCCGGGATCCCGTGGAGTTCCCTCCAGCGCCGACTCCGCGCGCTCGAGGTCCTTCAGGCTGAAGTCATCGTGGTGGCCGACGTGGGTTGCGGCGTCTTCGGCAACGACCCCTTCGTGATCGGCGGCTGCACGGACACCGAGGGGTGGGGAAGAATTGTAGGACAGTGGTGGCATGAAAGATATTTATTCGACCTTCAAAATTGGGGATCATCTAAGAGTCAGCTAGTCAGCTACCAAGAAGAGAATCCTTGCTATTATATATATATATATATCAGCATTGATTTGTGATGGTTTCACGGTATACAAATTGGTCAATAGTCCATACATGGATAGGTTGCGTGCAGAAAGAGCATTATGAAGTCCACGAGATGGTTTTCTTACGCTACAGGACTGATAGAAGATGTCCCCGTACCACTGTTGGATATCCAACTTTGGAAAGGAAGCTGAAGATGTTTGAGGATAGGTTTCGAGGGTCAACATCCCATGACTTTCTTCGTTTCAAGCTCACTCGTCAGCGTTCCCACAGCTACCAGGATCAATGTCACGAGCTTCGATGCCAAAAGCCAGTCGTTTCCGATGACTTCTATAGCAGGAACAACTCGCACAGTTGATGATTTACGTTCAGTTCGCCACCAGGGAGGAAGTCACCCATGATGTGATTTGTCGCTCTCCAACTGGTGGTGCCACAATATATGTCAAACTCTTCCTCCAAGTCAAAGTCATATCACTGTGTATCCCAAGATATCCCAAGCACTCCATGTATCCAAAGCGACAAATCACGCATGCCTATATATATAATTAATACATACTGTTACAAACTCTTACTACCACTCGCACCTGTCCAGTCACCTCGCGAAACGTGTCAAATACCACAACCTGTTACACCGTGTAACTGATCACAGTTCCAGTCCCATAGCTCCCATAACCGCTCCCATCACTCCCGTTGGAGCCGCACATCCGGGCGCCGCAAAGGTCTGGGCTCCGTTCTGCGGCGCTTCGCTTCCCTGCTGAGCGGCGTGAAGCAGGCGCTGGGACGTCATCCGTCCACGGGTTGTCCCGGGCGGCAGGAAGTGGCGGCAGACGTGGCGGAACTGGGAGGGTCGATCTATTCAACCCTGGACCCTTGCTGAATGTGAAACATCCGGAGGTTCAAGAACCTTAAGAGTAGTTCGACGATCCTCGAATTCGGCGATTCGCGGTCACGTTTGTAACCTCGGTTGGAGGTTCAGGAACTGATTGGTCGTTGGTTTGGGGGGGGCATTGACAGTTGATGAGATTCCAGGCATAATGTTCATTATCGTCAAGTACACTCTGAATTTGTGAGTGATGGGGCGTGATGGTGTTTAATGTCACCCACTGGCTCCATGTGGCCCCTTTTGGCTCCATCTGGCTCCCAAGGAATCCGTTGGTGTTTTTGTGTTCTGCTTCATGTGTTATCCACTTTGAAAGCACCATGGGCAATGATGCGGCCATTGTCCTCAGCCAAGCTGGCTGCATAGCTCAATTCATGAGCCTGAAGCACCATGTTTGCCATGCGCTTTCCATGTGCTACAATTGTATTACAGTCAACTAGATTTGAGGTGGGTCTTTCTTCAAGGGGCCCAACTGCCCTTAGGTCTCTCTCTCTCTCTCTCCCTCTCTCTCTCCGCTTCACGCGAGGTGATCATCACCGGCCGCCGCGGAGATTTCGGCGATGCATGTGAGCGTGCCATGAAGGGCGAGGAGAATGATGGGGTGATACGGGGTGGATTAAAGCGACCTCAGAAGAGTTCCCAGTATGGACTTTGCTTGCTTTGGAGCTAAGGATCGAGTTGTGGTTCGAGGGGTCAACATAGGCATATGTTTCATCGTACCTGGAGGTTCATTCTCCAGGAAGATTTTTGTGGACTTCGTAGTTTGCCTGTTTATCTCTCAACACGCTGGCCTTCTGTCGCCAACTCCTAAGAAACCCAAAACTAATAATTACCTAATAAAATGTATTATTTAGTGGGCGCTGTGG